GTGCTATGTAACTCTATGACTCTACCAGGTGAGGAGGAATGAACTGACTCCCCTTGGTTATTCATGCACTTGGTATCCACAAGGTTAATTTAGAAATGATCCCTAACCCACTCGATACTTTTCTCCCTGAACCAAATGACCTCATGTTTTAAAAGGAGCAAATTTAACCAGGCTTTCTTGAATGAACAAAAAGTGTTTGTTTATTAATTACTAAATGGGAGAAGAAATAGTAACACAACTCACATACATACCAAGTTTGAAATGAGATGAATCCGAAAAGATAATGGCAAAAAAAATCTTTTAATTGTTCATGAAGATCAGAGAAGCTGACATTGTGGCTATTACTGTAGCATTGACATTGTCAGTCAATTTTCAGATTCTTGGTCTTTGCAGGTTAATGAAGATTCTGTTCTGATTTTATTCCACAGTGAAGGTATACCAGCAGAGTGAGAGAAAACTTATCTGTTTGTTTTACATGCAGTTCTGGGGTGTTTATAATGGCTGCTGGTATACTATGGCCCTCACAGCACTTGCGTCTACACACTAGAACACCCAGCAAATAACACACACACACAGAGAAACACACACACGCACACAGAAACACACACACACACACACAATGTTGTAATCAGTTTTTAAACACCTTGTAGATTCCCAGAGGGTAAAACAGACATGTTGACAAGAGATAACTTTCTGCTGAGAGGGACGATAGTCAGGCCTCTCATTATCTCTTCTTGTTAATTATCTCCCAATTTAACATTTTCCTGACACTTTACAGATGCAATATTCCTTGGACTTCACACAGACAGTCACTGAGTTTATAGCCACAGTTATCACTGAATTTATAACCACAGTTACATTTTTTTTTGCTGAAGCCCTCTCATTTTAAAGAAAAGATGGTGAATATTAGTAAAAGAAAACCTGTAAAAACTTTGGGACTCTAATGCATCATCATTGCAATTAGCAGCAACTGCCTGCATCATCCTTCCATGGAGGTCAGCATTTGCGAAGCCACATCATCATGGCACATCTTGAACTAAATTATAATACAGTTCGGCACTTTAATACAGTTCACCAACAACTTATATCGCAATGGTGCCACCAGGGTACTTTGTGCACAGGGATGATTACCCGTGTCATTCTTCAGAAAATAATGTATCTCATGCCTTTTAGCATGCTTCCTTAGTATTTGCTCACTTTACACTTCCTTGGATGCTCACAGTGTCTATCTTCCCTTGCTTTTTTGTACAGATAGAAAGCTGGACAGCTTGTCAAGTCTACCAGCACTGAACAATCAAAGAGACTGACATGTTGTTGTACAGCTCCATGTTATGCATCAATGTTACACCTACAGCATGTGCCACCAGCGCACATAGCAAACGTGCTACATGTGCTTCATTCAAATGGCCATGTCTGAAACTCTAAGGGGAGTAGTCCTTTGTTAACTCATGGGGGATTATGGTGAGTCGGGGGGGTGATGCCACAATCAGTCAAGGGCATCATTTGATCTCAGTCTAAGTCTTTGATCATGGTTGGTCTGCCTGTCCGGGAAGCAGTGTACTTACAGTTCGATGATTGTGCAGCCGTGAGTCCTGCAGGTCAAATGCATTTAATCAAGGGATTATTGGTAAGTCAGCCAGGAGCTGCACATAAATCAGTCAAAGGGCTGCTCTGTCATCAATCAGGAAAGGCTGAGAGGTGACCCAAGTGAATGGGCAGGAGGGGTCAAGGATGGAAAGGATAACTAATCATGGAGTAGGGCATGGAAGTTATTGAGGAAAGATGTGGCATTCAATGCTGAGAGTGGTAGATCAGCGTCAAATGGGTGCTGTGGTAGAGGTAGTGTGTGAGATGGCAGAGAGAAGATGGTGGCATTTAACTTGGTAGAGCAGTACATCATTAACATTCTTGTAATATTGTTCTAAAAAATGATATCACGGCATGTTCCTCTGTACTGTGGACACTGCACTGAACTGGGTGGTTACTCCAGATAAGGTTGGCAGTGTCTGGTGGGATAGTCTGTTCTGGCAGTCCTGGGGAAATTGTTGGCCTTCATCTTCATCACATCATCCATCAGGACCTCCCAGTCCCTGTCTGCGAAGTGGGATGCCAGCTTGCCTCTCTTGGCCATATTCTTTGGCATTGTACAACAAGACACTAAGGCAAGTCCTGGCTTACAGTGTTTGACAAGATGTAGAGCTGGGGTTTAAACACCAAGACCTGAATGCCATATGGTCCTGATACTGGTGTGCACTTCCAACAATACTGAGTGCAAGATGACATGGTTCTGGTGCCATGGAGGTGAGATGCACAATTAATGAGGTGAGCAGTGGAGAATTGCATTTGAAAAGGAGCCATGATTAAAGTAAAGGTAACCAGAAACTTTCCAATACACTTCTTGAAATTGATGCTCAGCCAAAATTTGGGAAAATCCTCCCGAGTTTCAACCCCTTTTGTCATCTCTTCAACTAAAACTTTCAATGCTTTATCTGAAACCAGTGATGCTCAGACTTTTACATGTCCAGCCATTGCTGAAAGCAGCGGAACCTGGACTGACATCTGAAAAATCTTCCTTCACTTCCTGTAACTACAATGAACCTTTCCTTTAAGCAGTGCGAGCAACTCAAAGTATTGAGCCTGCAGATCATCAACATTATAGGGAGTTCTCATTGCATGCAGGGATCATTTAAAAGACCAAACAGCACCCAGCTTTAATCTATCCCCTATGTTAATCACATACTTTGACTCCTGTGCCTGTTTTCAGTGGTTAACCAATTACTCTGTCTTGAAATTTAACCACAAAATAATGTTTATTTTACCTGGTATAATGTTCTATTCCATTACAAATTACATATCATCTTTCTTATTGTGAATTCATGGGAATTGGTTTTAACTTCCATTATTAGAAATGTGGGTGTTGCTATATAAGCAGCCTCATTGACTTGCTCAATTTTCTTTACATCTAATTCATTTTTTTTTTGCCTGGTGAAAAGAAACTAACTCCCTTAGTCCTCATGAGTCATGGCAATAAGACCAAGTTATAAAACTTAACACCACCCTTGAAGGCAAGGGGCAATTGTGTGGTGGGTTGTTGGGTGGTATTTCCATATTTAGCAGTATTGTTTGAAACTTGCTTTAACATAAATTTGTTTAGTAATGACTAGTGCTTTGACTGCGTCTGTGCCTTTGGTCTGAATTTTCATTCTGAAATCCCAATCTTGACATTGAGCTTAATTCAGAGTCAGAGTCTGGTTTTGGTTATGACAGTACCCTGGAAGAGATTTTTGAACACACATTCAATTAGAAAGCCATCTTTGGGAGCTCCATCCAATTAAGAAGAGCAGTTGAATTCCTAAGCCAGAGTGACTAATGGGAGATATTGAGGATCTAGGTGATGAACAACCTTTTTTAACAGGTGTAGTGTACGCTGTCACTGTGAGGGCACCTTAGGACGGAGTCACCACCTAAAAATGTGTAAATCGTCCAAAACATAGTGTGGCTGCAGATGCAAAGCAGCAAATTGTACAGCCAAACCCTCTTCACTTGATAACCTGTGGCTATTTTCCTTGCAGCCTAGCATATCCATGCTGGATTGCTTTGCAGGTTATAACTCTTGCCTTCCTGGCCTCCTGAATTCCATTTACAGGATTTTGGGGTGGGTCTGCTCTCCAAAACAGTCCAAACGGTCTGTTGTGCCCTGAATTGACACATTAATTGTGCTTGTTTGCTGCCCACTGCTGACCTACTGTTCCCTCTCCTCACCACCCCTTATCCATTTCCGGGGGCACAGAAGCCTATTACCTGAAAATAGGTTGGAAGCCAGCAGATCAGAAAGCTAGCTAACAGCATTAAATTGATGAATCACCCACCTCTAATTCCATCTTGGGAAAGGGGTGAAATTTCATCACTCTTTATCCGTGCTCCATCCTTTGTGTTCATGTGTTTAATTACAAGACCGTGTAAGTTATTCTAGTTGCCATCAACAAAATTCAAGTGATAACGTGAGCTTTCAAAAATCAGATTAATTTGCTTTAGATGGCAAAAGTCAAACTAAATGAGGCAGAACACTTTCTGAGTGCCTCTTCAACAGCTGTTAGTTACTTAAATATTTAAATATCCTAACTGGCAAAAACTGGGCAGAAACTTCAACCCCAGGTCCTTGAGGGAGAAAAATACTTTGCAGATCTAAATCGCTGACTTCTTTTCTAAATCTCCGTTACTTCTTAGTTATTAAGAGCCTTGATAAGCTGTGTAGATAAATGTTGCAGGCAATTTCCCAACAATTATTTTACATACATCACAGAAAACCGTAGGGGTGTAATTGTCACAGACGGATAGGTAAGAAATGAGCTTTGTGTTGACAGTTTCCCATACGGTAAGCTCTTAATCTGAACAGAAGCCGTGCTATTACTCACTAGGATCCAACAGTGAAAAGGAAGACCGATATCTGAACCATTCTCCCTCACACAACAGATGAATTCTGAGCAATGTTGTATGCCAGTCTGACTCAATATATGGTCCAAAATTGGGGGGTGGGTGGAAACATTCAAGACATTCAAGAATAAAGGAAGAGAGAAACATAATATTTCACAAATATAAACCTGAAAGTTTCCCAATGGGTTTTTAAATTTATTTGTGGATTGTGGGCATCATTGGCTGGCCAGCATTTATTGCACGTCCCTAGTTGCCCTTGAAGAGACTTTGTCACAATTGGCATAATTATTCTTGATAACATAGCTTGCTAGGCTAATTTCTACAATTTAGTAAATTACCTTCTAAAAACATTCCTCATATCCTTAAAAAGAATGCATCCACATTAAGTCAACTGTCTGTAGCATTACTTATAAAGCTTACAGTTCCAAATGATAATTAAAGTCTTAGTTAAGAAATTTGTTTCACATTTAACATTACCTATATTTGTCTCATTTCAACAATGCCTGTTTTTTATCTTTTAAAAAATTGTTTTTAATTATACTACAGCCAGGAACGTTCTCACTTACCTTTCGTGAGTGAACTTCTTTGATGTATAATGGAAGGAGGAACTCGGATTTGCCTTCCAGCCGTACCCCTTTATTTGTGATTTTCAGGTTACCCATTCCATCCTGCAATCAGTTAAATAACACATTTAATCAAAATTTGAAGGATGAAATAGAATTATCTTTTCATGCCACAACATCAATCAAGAGAATGGTTCATAGGCAGCCCTTGATGAAAAGCTACAATATGCTGTTCTGTTGCTCGATGTGACTAAGTAACCCATAAATGTAACTTGACAGCATAGGTTGTGACCATTAGTGACATGTTGTTACTACATAGTCTAGTCGGTTAAAACATTTTCTGTCGGTTACACGAGATCGGTAGCTGTAAGCCACTGTATTGCCAGGAATTACATTATGTCCTGCTTGTTAAGTGAACAGTCAATTTAAAGCTAAAGGATTAGGACAGTAATGCACAACAACTGCTTTCCTTGCAATAACAAACCTTTGAGGCAATTTAAGAAAGTAGCAGCTTTTATATTAAGCCCTTCAAAATGTTTTTGCACTGACTATAACTGAATACATTTCTGTCACTACCTTTGATGTAAACAATATTACTGCACTTCTCACTCCTTTTTTCTCCCAAGCTCAAATGACAGCAGCATGTGCTGCATTCTCTAACACAGTGTAGAGCTGGAGGAACACAGCAGGTCAAGCAGCATCAGAGGAATAGGAAAGTCGACATTTTGGGTCAGGGCGCAACACCATGTGTTGCATTAATGAGTTCTCGACTAGAAATGAAATTCCCAGGTATCCAATCTAGTTTAATTCAGAAAAATGCAAAACTATGGCCCAGCTGAACCATTTTTCAAATGCTCAAACATGCAATGTGATTAGGTAAATGTTATCAAAAGAAATAAAGCCTTGCAAACTAAATGAGGCCCTGCAGCACGCATACAAGCATTGTCATGGTGGTGCATTGGCAATGTTACTGGACTCGTACCCAGAACACTGGGCTAATGCTCTGAGGACATGAATTCAAATTCCATTTTAGCAGATGGTGAAATTTGAATCCAAACAAAAAAAACAAAAAAAAATCTGGAATTAAAAGCGGCACTAATGGTGATTATATAACCATTGTTGCAAAAACCCATTTGGCTCACTAATGTCCTTCAGGGAAGGAAGTCTACCATCCTTTAGCCTACATGTGACTCCAGACCCACAACAATGTGGTTGATTATTAATAGGCAATAAATGCCGTCCTAGTATATGACACCCACATCCCATGATTTTTTTTTAAAGAAAACTAAGTAAGGCAAATATGGACAAATCTGATCATATCTATATTTACAAGAGTATACTGTTAAGAGCAAAGAAAGTGCCATTATTCACTATTTTCTTGCACATATCCCTTCTCTTGAAGGGGAGTCTTTCAAGAGATTAATTACAGCATCATAAGTTATGCTGCTGTTATTTTGCCACCAAATTGTAACTGTTCCATTTGTCTCTAATTTCATTTGACACCGTATTGTTCCACTGGTACATTTACTTGCTGAGCGCAGAGATAATGGCTTTAATGATGTAACTTTGAATTTCATGTTTTGCTCTACATTTACCTTAATTTGATCCGACTGTTCATGATCATTTTAGCAATTATGTTGATCATCAGACAGAGAAAGGAAGTGGGGTAGCGTTGTCAGTAAAGGAGGCAAATTCATGCAATTGTGAGAAGGATATTGGCTTTACATATCATGATGGAGAATCTGTATGAGTGGAGATATGAAACAGAAGGACAAGAAACATTGTTAGAGGATGTAAAAAGAGCCCCAGCCAGTGAGGAATGTAAGGGAAGATATTGAAGAAGAAATCAAGGATGCATGCAATAAGACAACAACTATAAACATGGGTGACTTTAATTAATATATAGATTAGACAAATCAAACTAGCAATGGTGACTCAGAGATAGTAGGAACTGTCGATGCTGGAGAATCTGAGATAACAAGGTGTAGAGCTGGATGAACACAGCAGGCCAAGCAACATCAGAGGAGCAGGAAAGCTGACGTTTCGGGTCTGGACCCTTCTTCAAAAAATCAGTTCTGAGGAAGGGTCGCTGGACCTGAAATGTTAACTCTGTTTTTTCCTTCACAGATGCTGCCAGACCCACTGAGCTTTTCCAGCAACTTTGTTTTCTAGATTTGGTACTGTGTAATGAGAAAGGATTAATTAACAATCTTGTTGTGTGAAGTCCTTTGTGGAAGAGCGGCAATAATATGATAGAATTTATAATTAAGATGGAGAGTAACGTAGTAGAATCTGAAAGTAGGATCCTGAATCTAAATAAAGGGAACTATGGGGTTATGAGGCATGAATTGACAAGGATGGATTGGGGAACCTTACTAAAGAGGTTGGTAGTGGATAGGCAATGGCTCATATTTAAAGAATGCACGCATGGATTTGTCACAGTCTGGTGGAAAAAACTAAAACAGGAAATATGGGTCAACCATGGCTGACAAAAGAAATTATGATTAATATTAGATCCAAAGAGAAGTCATATAAAATTACCAGAATAAGCAGTGAGTCTGAGAATTGGGAACATTTTAGAATTCAGTGAATGAGGAGAAAAAGTTTGATCAAGAGGGATAAAATAGAGTAAGAGAATAAAATTACAGGGAACGTAAAAACCGACCATAAAAGCTTACTATAAGTATGTGAAGAGAGAAAAATAAAGTCAAGTCAAATGTAGGTCCTATACAGACAGAAGCCTTGGATAATTATAGCTCTAGCTATTCACGATATATTTAAATGACCTGAATGAGGGAATCAAATGCAACAATTTCAAGATTGCTGATGACAGAAAATTGGGCAGGTTTGTGGGTTGTGAGGAGGATGTAAAGGGGTTCAAGATAACTTCGACATGTTGAATGATTGAACAAATACATGATAGATGCAGTACAATATGGCTAACTGTGAAGTAATACACTTCGGTGTGAAAAACAGAAAGGAAGACTATTATTTCAACAGTGATATATTAGGAAGTGTGGATGTATAAAGGAATCTGGATATCGTTGTAAGTAGAAAGGCAAGTACAGTGAGCAATTAGGAAAGAAAATGGTACATTGGCCTTCATTGCAGAAAGGTTTGAGTTCAGAAGTAGAGATGTCTTATTGCAGTTATACAGGGCCTCGGTGAGATTACACCTGCAGTATTGTATGCAGCTTTGGTCTCCTTATCTCAGAAAATATATACTTGCCATAGAGACAGTGTAGTAAAGGTTCACTAGCCGATACCAGGGATGGCAATGTGAGGAGAAATTAGTTTGAATGGGCTTGTATTCACCACAGTTTAGAAGATTGCGGCGTAATCTGATTAAAAGGTACAAAATTCTAATAGGGCTGGACAGACTAGATGCAGGGACTGAGTAATTTTGTGTTGTATCATTCCCAGTTCCTGGGAAGTTTAAGGTCAGAAGAGATCTAAAATACCTCTTCTTCAAGCTCAATTTGAAGCTGGAATTTGTTGAATGCATTAACCTTCCTATTTTCCTCTCTCTTTCTCTGGGCACCATTTCCATCTATTCTTCTCACCCTTCCCCCCATTCCCCCCTCCAAATCGACCATCATCCTACCCCTGTCATCAGTATAAACATCAGCATTTCTCAGCTGCTTTCAGTTCTGAAGAAGAACTCAAAACATTAACTCTGTTTTTTTCCACAGATGCTTCCAGACCTGTTGAGTATCTCCAGCAATTTCTGTTGTTATTTGTTTCAGACCTCCTGTATCTGTAGTCCCTTGTTTTATTATATCTCTGGAAAGATGCCAAGTACATATACCACAGCAATGGAGAGAGGGAATGTAGCCTACGTGGAGGTGACTTTTCGCAAATGTAGGTCATCCTCACTTAAAGTTGTGTTTCTCTTTCTGAAAATTGTGATTTAAGTGAAATGACTTTAACTGAATCAGGGGGTCCTATAGGATTCAATGTTAAAGCCAGAGTTAGGTTTCTTCAGACATGTTTTTGCCCAGAAAAAGCCATACACAATCTTCAATACTGTATCTTGTATGTGCAGGACTGCATTCCTTGCTGAAATAACTTGGAAAATAAACTGCATAATTAAATATCTAAGAAATACAATACAGTATATCCCTTCTACAATATTTTTATGCAAGTATTTTCCAGTTTGTTCAGACTCCTTGAGTTGTAATAGTTGGTTGATGCACAAAGCTGTTGACCAACCTCTGTCACAGGATGGATTACTTCAGTGTGAACTCTATCAAAGAGAGCAGCCTAACTTTAAAACAGAGAGTCGCATGAGGAAGAGGGAGTGGTGAGGATGTGGGCAAGGCTAAGACAAGGGTGGAGGGAGGCATGGAGGGAAGCAAGGCCAGGATTTAGAAAGCAAAGTCATGCCCAAAAGGAAATGCCAGCAAAACTTGAAAATGACGCACGCTGGTCCGACTTGCCTTATATAACTCAGAAAAGTACTCCACTATGAGCAATATGTCCATTTCCAAGTATTACTTTTTTTTTACAGGTTCTTCCCTCTGGGTGAGGGAGGCAACACTGGGATGTAAGGCTGAGGGATGAAGGCATTGCTGGAAGGCAAGGCTGGTGGGCAAGGTAATAATATTTACAAGAAATAGTAATGCAATTTTGAAGGGACTGGCCTTAAAAATAAAACAAAGATGAAATATGGAGGAAGGTGTGATGGTCTATCTATTTGGCTCTTCCAACAGAAGATTGTTACAAATGCTTTGGCCTTGACTTTTGCACTGTTCTGTTGGTCTCCCTCCATCATTGAGGGTGGGGATATTTATGGAGCCCCCTTCTCCAGTGAGTTATTTAGCTGTGCGCCACATTCACATCTGGATGTGTCATAACTGCAGAGCTTAGATCTGGTGTGTTGTTTATGAAATTACTTAGACCTACGTAGCACTTGCTGCTTAAGCTGTTTAACATGCAGGTAGTCTCATCTTTAGATATGCCTGGAGCTGTTTCTGGCAGGCTTTCCTATAGTCTTCCTTGAATCTTTCTTAGCTTATTTGACTGGAAATAACCTTCAATCATTCACAGCTTGATTTCACATTTAAAATGGCAGCATCATTAAAGTTACATTTGATTGCTTGTTG